GTGCGAAAGACATATTCAGGGTTTGAAGAAACGTGTCTCCACAGCTGAGCAAAAATGTACAACAAGCAACATATAATGGGTGAATATGAATAACTTTTTATTTCAGCAAATGTTAAATTTAACTTGGGAAAGATTACAATAACAGTGAGCGTGTGAAATTATACAGATTTTACTGGCCAGAGTAAACAAACGTTCTCAGTTGTGTTATATACCAAACACGCAACCAAAACTCAAAGCATCTGGTTTTAACAAAGACTCTACATATCGTACTGAATTACAAAAGCATCAGCACTTTGAAATACTTGAAATGAACTTTGAAATACTGTTGGCCATCTTCACTCAACCAAGAGCCAAAATGGTTACATCCTACCCTCTGACAACTTGAGTGGTGACCACCGTTGAGGTGGCCGGCTGCATGTTGGCCCTGATCTTCACCTCACGATGCATCTGGCACCAGACACACTCGTAACACCAAATTATTTTACACCAGTCATCCCAGCACGAACCCTGCAGGATGGAGAAGAAGAAGAGAAGAATAAGTCACATAACTCAACACAATGAGGCAAACATGGTGAAGTCCCCATGCTTGCCTGATTTAGAGTACTCTCAGTGTTCACTTGGCGAATGTGAACCAACAGTCAAGTAGTTCTTTGATGCTGTTATAAGAAGCTGGGTGAGTTAATAAAAGTGAATTTGTCACAGCCGTAGTTTCCTGTTAAACAGATTTGAACAAACTGCTGTCTGTGTGTTTAATGAAGCTTCAGTCATTCTTTAATTACCTCCTTTAGCAAACAATTGACTGGAGCATCCTTTATGAAAGGAGAGGAGAAAATGCCATCCCACAATTCATAGCTCATCCAACTATTCACGAAAACTATCCAGTACACAGATGATTTAACCTCCTGAGACCCAAACTCTTCCACGGCATGCATTTTTAATTTCTCCTTGATATTTGGGCTGATTGGGACCCGATGACTGTAAAAACAAAGAATTACCAGATTTTTTTTTAGCCTAATTTTTGTTTCTAAGAAAAATGAGAGCCACATATGAGGATATTCGTTTAAAAATTTGATAGAACAGTAGCAGTATAATGTCCTCGTAAGTGGATATCAGACCGTTGTAGAGCAACATTGAGTATTTTGGTCTAAATAATCCAAAATGTGATGTCCACATATGTGGATGACAGGTCCTAGGAGGTTAAATCTTAATTATAACTGAATTTTTCAATTTGTGCCATAAGCTAGTGATTTTTCACAACAGCCTGCTAAACACATGAAGAACGTGCAGAAAATGTGTGCCAATTTTCTGTGTTACCAAATTTTATCAAGTTGGCAAAGCACAAAGCTCATCACAATAACTCATAAAGAATCAAAACCTTTACAGCAGTGTAGCTGGCTTACATCCACCAAGGAATTCAAGGTCAACTCAATGATGGTTGAAGATTTTTAAAAAGCCTTATAACATTGAAAATATGATCATTACATGCGTATGTATGTTCAACAGGTATCTTCAGCACCTCCAACCTCTCCTTCGAAGGTCATGAAATGGAGCTAATGGTCCAAGTGATAATAATGCTATACAGGGCTATTTATTAAAACTATATTTCTCATTGTCATTGTTCCTATTGAAAACATGTGCGCATATAGGGAATGATATATGGGCACTGTAAATATCCCGTTACTTTGGACCCCTGACCTTTCTGCAATGTCAAATAAGGTCAAATTTTCATAAAATTCTACTTATTACTTATTGGCAACATTTAGGAAATAGTACTGCTATATGGGGACTCAAAATATCCAAAATAATTTACATCCACATATCACCTTTTTCCTTCTGACCTCATTTCTGCATTGTACATCTATGGTTTTCTTTCAAGTTGACCCAAAATGTGTTATTTTTATTGCACTATATATTCTTTAAAAAAAATCAAAGAAAACAAAATATGAATTTATAAAAAAAAATAAATGAATTTATAAAACTGTACAAAATACAACACTTTTCAATTATTCAGTGAGCTGGCCTAACGGAAGTTTGCACTCCCAGTATGCTTCTTTTTATGTTGATTTTTGTAGGAAAAGCTTATCTTTTAAAAAGAAATAGAATTTAAATAAAATAGTTTTCACCCCTCAGTTTAGCTTGGCTAACAACAATAACCTTGACCCTCCCTCGCCACCAGCCTTACAGGGATGCCGTGGCGCTCTCTGATCGACTGGCGAAGCGTGCAGGACACCACGCAGCATACATCACAGAGTGGGAGGCAGCAACACCACCCGTGCTTGTTGGCTGTATCACACTGCATGCAAGGGAAACACCAAAGGGCACAGCAACCTCGACAGAAGAGAAAAAAATATGCAGAGACACAAGTTTATTTTACTGTTGAATAAGTTCTCCTTCAACAACTAGCTTGTGCATCCTGTGTTTCATATGGTGACTTCAGCTCTAATTTCAGATGATCAGAAGACCCTCTGAATAAAAGTCTGAGGAGATTGTTGATACAAAAAGCACTACTATTTGTAGAGTTTGCTAGATTAACTTACAAGTGCCCATATCAGCACAGCAATCACAGAGGCCAGTGCTCCAAGTCCCAGGGCTTTGATTAGTGCTGGAGACTGTCACTATCTGGGTGGGCGCCTGGTATTCAGCCATTTCTGGAGGAAAGAAGGTAGAAATAGAGATGCATTGAAGGGTTATAGTTTTAGTTGCTCCACTGTACGAAGAAATCAAATGCTAGAATATGAAAAAGATATCAACATTACTGTCCACAGTGTGGATATTTTTACAAATTACAGTTTCCTGTTTCATGAAAATCACTGCAAAGACCATTGGCACTAAAGTTGCGAGTACATCTTTTAAAACTCAGAAATTTGATAAAACCCAGCTTATAAACTGCATTCACAACACATTTCAAACCAATAACTTTTATAAATCTACCGTTTCAAACAGTTCAAAGTCACACAAAATCTTAATCTGTCTTGAATGCTCAGCATTCAAGACAGATTAAGACATATTTAGTGTTATTTATCCATTTTTTTCTTTGGTACATAATCCCATATATTTTGCTTCATATATTTGATGTCTTCAGTTTGTATCTACAATGTAGAAAGTAATAAAAGTAAAGACTTTTGGCTGGTAGTGAATACACATATATATCTACATATATGTGTATATGTACACACACACACACATGCACATATAAATTTGAGCACAATAGGACTTATTTGGGTAGCTCAAATACGTCACCTGGTTTTCTCTCACTCTAACCTCTGGTCTGTCTCAGTCAAGCTGCCCACCAAACACTAGTTTTTATTTGTATTTTTTTAAGAGTTGTGGCCCTGGAGTTATGTATGAGTAAAATGTGAAGAGGTACTGTTGTTACGAGCTCTTAGAAGTTTCATAGCCTTGAAAGAAATCACGAAGGTGGAGAAGAATCTGATGTGTAGAGTTAATGGAGCAATGATAACATTTATGTAACACTAAACAAGTGAGTACTGGGTCTGATTGATTTCCTTTGACTGTGTTTTGTCGCCTTTAAAACACCTGTAAGGGTGTAAGCATGAATGTGGGCTACTTCCTATTTTTTTTAAGAATCCTTTCCTGTCAGCATTTATTTAAAGTGCACTTTAACATAGTGTTAAATTAAATTTGCATGCCTGTCTTGCACAAAAGCATTGATGCATGAAAGTGATGCATCTACAGCCCTTCCTGGTTTCTTACTTTCATTTCACAGGTAACAGACAGATGTACATTCTCTGTCTCATTTGGTGCACATCAGACAATATATGAAACTCATCAAACCCACAGGGTTGATCAGAAGTTTCTAATCTGTCAAAGTGTTTATGCAAATAATAATATGCTCTTCACACACCGTGTAACACAAGGATAACAAGATGTTTTTTTTACTGCTGAAACAGTGAAAAACATGATTTAATATCATGCAAGGAATTCATTAATATTATTCTTTGTATACTTCTCTACAACAGACATCTAATGAGACGTGTGAGTTTCTGTCATTGTTTTCACATGGCTGTTGCTCCACTCAAATGTCTACTGAAATGAAAGCGTTTCATCTTCCTCCCCTGCCTTTCAGATGATTTCCCTCCAAATTTGGTATTAGTTTTAACTCCACCTTTCTGGCTGTCTTCTCTTAACTGGCTTCATCAGGTCTCAACAGTCTTTTAGTTATTTTCAGGAAGTGACATCTGTGCCACAGCAGTTACATCTTGAGATCAGCTTTGCATTACATGAGTCAATGTGATTGCAAAAAAGATGAACTGACATCTGCAAAGTGTCTCTTAAATTCAGTTTAAATGTGAGGCAACTTTTTTTACATTCAGAAAGAGAATGACACAACAAAAGCAAACACACATAAGAACAACAATTATATACAGAAGGCCAGTCACTTAACTAAAAGCCCAACACTGCCCTCCACAGCAAAACAGATATTAGCACAGCCTCACCTTCTCTCTTTCTAACCTCTAGTCATTGTTCATAAAGCTCATGGTTAACATAAAGCCTCCTTATCATTGCTGAAAGGGCTGAGTTGATTATCACTGAGTTGAGAATCTCACTTTCCTTCCTCATTTCATGGCTGGAAGTGTCCTGAAGTGTGTGTAAGAGCTGTTGTTGTAACAGCAGTGCCATGACGGTTAGATTGCCTGAAGGAACCCAATCACAACATTATTAGCAGGAGAAATAAAATGTGCTCCTCTTCAGATTAAGTATGTAGGAAGATGGTGATGAAGCTAAATTAACAGCTCCTCCATTTTTCCCAACATTTACCTCTCTATGTTTTATGTTAAGGATCAGGGGACTGTGTGCCACTCCAACAGGTCCCATTTCAGAGGAGTGTTAGCGTTTCAGTAAAATAACATCTCAGGCCTTAAAGTGTGCACATATCTGTTTCAAAAGCTTTGTTTATACTGCAAATGTTTTGTTAGCTTGTGATCTAACTGAGATGCTAGCTTGCAAGGGCTACACTTAATTTAAAAACTGTGAAGTAAATGTTTAGAAAGTTGTATTTTAATTTAATTTTTTTTTTTATTGTGTTGCATAGCCTTATGTTTTTAAAATATGTTACAGCAAAATTAACCCTTTAAAGCCAAGCGTATCGTATTTGATACATGTGTTTTGTGAGGTTTTGAGACTTCTACATCATGACGTGAATTTTTTTTACCATCAAAAAATTATATAAACTGCATGACATTTTTAAAAGGACTAAATTGCAAAAATATGGCCTATATAGCAAGTGTGATACAAATTAAAACTCATATATTTTGTCTAAAGGTTCAACAAACACTCGATTTTAAAAAAATTTAAGATTTCTGGCGTTTTTTTCATAGTTCAGTTTTTAAAAGGTTAAAGGGTTTGTGTGAGATGTAAAAAAATATATAATTTGAAACAAAGATTCATCCTCTTGTGGACTAATGCACAATCGAAAAAAACAGAGGTCGGCGACCGCAAGCTACAGGCTCTTTTGGTCCTCAGCTGTGGCTCATGCAAACTTTGGGTGAAAGAAAAAAAAAATTAAATGTTACAGGCATTACCTTCCCTTTAATACGACAGAGGACACATTGAGAACCCTTTTGAGAATAAAGTTGAAATTTCGAGAGTTTGTGAAATACTTCAGAATCGGTTTTAGTAACAAGGACGCAAATGATTTCTCTTTTAGCACATAAACACAGTGTAGTGATTTGTATAAGGATGTTGAAAAGATGGCTCAGAAAGCTGCATCTGGTCAGAAGAAAAAACACACAAACTTTTCCGAGTTTGTGTAACCTTCCAACATCTCTCTCCATCTTACCACTTTGGTATAAGTTGGTCCAGACCAGAAAGCTAGCTAGCAGCTACTTGCCAAACTGAAAACACTAAGCCTTAGCCAGAGGCCTCTGTACTATGGTACTACTATGAAGTCCAAACACCACTTGTTCTTGGCTGAGGACACTCTGCAGTGCTGCATGAATATTGAAGTGACTTCTTACAGCCCTGATATGGAGAAGCTTTTCAGTGATGTTTAGAAACAGAATAACCTAACCTCACTATTTTATTCTAAAGTTATTTGAAAGTGAAATTTTTTTAGGTGTAACCTCAAATAGACAAAGTGCAAAATTATGTTTTATAAAAAAGTAGGCCTCCACATGGCAGTGTTGTTTTTTCTCCTCTTCAAAACGTTTGTTAAAAGGTTCTTAAAATAAAAGGACATATTATTACATTTGTATTAAGTGCCTGTATTATCCTCTCTGAATTGCACCTGTCAGGGTATTTGTGACCAAGTGTTTTCTAGTTTGGGATTTTATGCTGTTTGTTTTTAAATGTCCGTTGTGATTCTTATGTAATTATTCCTTTGTCATGTTTAAAGTGTGTTTCGGTTAGCCTTCAGTTAATCTTAGTTCTCCCTCAGAGTCTGTCTTCTCCTGTCTTTACTTGAGTCTCCCCAGTCACCATATCAAGCTTAGGCTACGTCCACACTAATCGTTTTCTCTCCGTTTTGGCTTCGCGTCCACACTGAGATGGCGTTTTTTTCAAGGAAAAACGCAGCAGTTTGAAAATGCTCTCGAAAACACATACATTTCAAAACGGAGCTGTCCCGTTGCAGTGTGGACACTTGAAAACGCAGACTTTCTAAAACGATGAGTGTTTTAGTCATGTGATGCAGTCATGTGACCAATTAAACAAAGACAGCGGAGGGCATTGTACAGCAGTTGTTTTGATTGTTCTCAGTTTTGACAGCCCTAAAAAAAATATTATTATCAGTTTGCACATGCTCCAGATAGATGTTCTTCAAATTCTTTAATTCTCACTTGCTTTTGCGCATGCGTAGAACTGGAGCGTAAGCGTTTTGGGCCGTTTCAATGCTGACGCACAAATCTGTGAAAACGACTGAAAACGCTAGTGTGGACACGGAGCGTTTTCAGACAAAAATGCTGTTTTCAAATCTATCCGGGCTAGTGTGGACGCACCCTCAGATGTCCACACTAGCCCTGATAGGTTTGATAGCACTCCGCTATCTTTGTTTAATTGGTCACATGACTGCATCACATGACTAAAATGCGTCATCGTTTTAGAACGTCTGCGTTTTCGAGTGTCCACACTGCGACTGGACAGCTCCGTTTTGAAATGTATGCATTTTCGAGAGTGTTTTCAAAACGCTGCATTTTCCCTTGAGGAAAGCGCCGTCTCAGTGTTGACGGGAGGCCAAAACGGAGAGAAAACGATACGTTTTCAAATGAAAACGCATCAGTGGACGTAGCCTGAGTCGCTTTCTGCATTTCCTTTTGATGTTGCTGACCCTTTGTTGTAATGACTTGGTGATATAAGTAAAATTGAATAGATTTGATTTGAAATAACAGAACTCAAACCAATTACAGAAACATAACAATAAAGCAACCAAAAAGTAAGAAATAACAATAACAAGAATAAAAATCAAGAATAAAATAGATACAATATACAGCCAGTGGCAGCTAGAATGTATTTCAAACAATCATTTCAGAGGAATACAGATCTAAATGAATGCTTAGCAAGACTAACATGAAGCAGCGTTATGCTTTACTGTATTTTGGACCGGTAAGCAATTTGAGGAAGTTTTTAAGGTGGAAGGGTTTTAAGGCTGATGAAATAGCTATTTTAAAATACCACATTGACACTTCTCA